CTCCCTCCTCTCCTCTCCCTCCCTTTCCTCTCCTTCCCGGCCCCTCCTCTCCTGTTTTAAATCCTCTCCTCTGCCCTCCTCTCCTCTCCTCTGCTCTCCTCTCCTGCTCTCCCTCTCCTCCCCTTTCCCCCTCCTCTCTCCGCTCTCCCTTCCTGCCCCCTCCTCTCCTCTGCCCTCCTCTCTTTCTCTCTCCTGCGCTCTCCTCCCTCCGCTCTCCTCCCTCTGCTCCTTTTTCCTCTCTTCTCCTGCCTCTCCTCTGCTCTCCTCCTCCTCCTGTTCTTCTCCCTCCCTTCTCCTCTCCTCTCTCTCTCCTCTCCTCGCCTCTCCTCTCCTCTCCTCTCCTCTCCTTTGTTCTCCTCTCCTTTGTTCTCCTCTCCTCTGCTCTCCTCTCCACTGCTCTCCTCTCCTCTGCTCTCCTCTCCTCTGCTCTCCTTTTCTCTTCTCTCCTCTCCTCTGTTCTCCTCTCCTCTGCTCTCCTCTCCTGTGCTCTCCTCTCCTCTGCTTTCCTCTGCTGTCCTCTCCTGTGCTCTCCCCTCCTCTTCTCTCATCTCCTCTGCTCTCCTCTCCTCTGCTTTCCTCTCTTGCGCTCTCCTCTCCTCTGCTCTCCGCTCCTGTGCTCTCCTCTCCTGTGCTCTCCTCTCCTCTGCTCTCCTCTGCTTTCCTCTCCTCTGCTGTCCTCTCCTGTGCTCTCCTCTCCTCTTCTCTCATCTCCTCTGCTCTCCTCTGCTCTGCTCTCCTCTCCTCTCCTCTCCTCTACTCTCCTCTCCTCTGCTCTCGTCTTCTCTGCACTCCTCTCCTGTGCTCTCCTGTGCTCTCCTCTCCTCTCCTGCCTCCTCTCCTCTCCTCTCCTCTCCTCTCCTCTCCTCTCCTCTCCTCTCCTCTCCTCTCCTCTCCTCTCCTCTCCTCTCCTCTCCTCTCCTCTCCTCTCCTGTGCTCTCTTCTGTTATGCTCTCCTCTCCTTACAGTAGATGCAGTGGTGAGTAAAATATTTGGAGATTCCAAAGGCTTTATCTTCATCCTTCTCCCTCATTCTCTCTATTTCTCTTCCTCCCACTGTTCCATCATCTTTCTCTCCACCCTCCCTAACATCTTTAGGGCTGCAATATAAGGGTATGTGTGTAATGTGCATTAGGCAAGGAGTGTGTGTGCGTGTGTGTGTGTGTCTGATGTATGTTAGGCGTGGGGAATGTTCAGTCCAAGCAGGCGTGTTTGGAGTGATGACCTCTTACGTGTGTCCCAGAGAGACACACACAAGAAACATCAAAATGGGCTATATCTATTCTCTCTGTGTTCTTTCTCTCCAGGGACTGAGAGTCAGACTGGACAGCAGACTGAAAAGAAGAGATAGAAGACAATGGAGAAAGGAAAGAAGATAGGAGAGGAGTGATAGAGGAGACAAAAGAGGGAATAGCAGGGGAGAAGAGAGGAGATAGAGGAGAGGAGTGATAGACAAGATAAGAGAGGAGACAGGAGGGGATGACAAGAGAAGGGAGGAACCAAATAATAGACATAAAGAAGAGACAGCAGAGAGAAAAAAGCAGTAGAAGAAAGAGAAGTGAGAAGAGGTAGGGAAGAGAGAAGAGAAGAGTGAGATAAAAGGATGAGCTAAAGGAAGGGAAAAGGGATGAATGGAAGGGAGCAGGTTGATGTTTATTGGGATGAGTCTTGTCCTGGAGGCAGACCTGAGTAATTTCTGCTAGATGTGCCAGCTGCAGTCAAAATTGGCTATATTGTAAAAACTCATGAAAACAAAAATGAGCTTTTTGGTCTTAATTTAAGGTTAGGTTAGGTATTACGGTTAGCAGTGTGGTTAAAGTTAAGGTTAGGGTTAGGATGAATGACTTTATGGCTGTGACAGCTAGTGACCACTCTGCAGAGCTCCCTCCAGTACATGAGTCCTCCCAATAAATGCTAATCTGCTGGAAGGGAGCGATGGAAGGGAGGAAAGGAACGATAGCAGCCAGGCAAGAAGCTTGTGAAGTGTTTATGAGTGGGAAGCACTGTTTCCAAGTGTGAAAAGGGGTGGGGGAGGGAGAGAGAAAGAAAGTGAAGGTTGTTCTCTGGCATGTAACCGTTACAGTAAGCTCTCAGCTCAATACGGCCCTGAAGGCACAACGCCTCTCCTCGCTCTGCTTACACACACACACACACGCGCACACACACACACACACACACACACACACACACACACACACACACACACACACACACACACACACACACACACACACACACACACACACACACACACACACACACACACACACACACACACACACACACACACACACACACACACTCATAAAAGAGCAGAGGAGAGGGAATATGACAACTATTTGAACAGGAGGTTGCATGTGTGTGTGTGTGTGTGTGTGTGTTGACTGATCTGTTTACTGCAGACGGGGGACGGTAGGTGGGAGTTGAATGATGGCTTTGAAAAGTGTGTGGGTGGGGGGTGTCTGCGATTTCATGACAGCAAAAAATAAAAATCTCAAGCTGTGGCTTTGTGCAAAGCTCTGAGTGTGTATTCGTGTGTGTGTGTGTGTGTGTGTTTAGCAGTGTTGGGGTTACAAAGTAACACTTTAGTGTAATAATATTACTTTTTGCAGTACTGAGTAATATAACTGCGTTACTGTTCCAATTTGTGTAATAATATTACAGTTACTGATCAAATAAATTATTACACTTTTACACTTATTATACTTATTTAGTTATTATTATTCCCTCTCTGTTGGCGCAATATTTAAAAACATTGACTTTTTCAGTGTGGAAGTACTCTCATTACTTTGATTTTGTAGGACAAAATGACAAGAATATAAATGTAAAATGTCAACTGTGCCCAGGCGTGAAACACCTCTCCACTGCTAGAAACAAGACTTCTCATCTCTTGAACCACCTGCAAAGGCAACACGCCATTACAAAACTTGTAGAGAAACACCCCCGAGACCTGACCACTGCTGCTGAAGATGACTGTAGGTGTAGGCCCACCTCATCCAAATAACCAAGGCTTGATTTTAATTGTTCAGGAGGACAGGCTGTAACCCAAGGAGAGCTGAACAAGCTTGTAGCTGGGTATATATATAGTAAAGGAAATGCTGCCCTTATCCACGGTAGAATCTGTCATTATTAGTCTACTTGTGTTGGTGTATAGACCTACGTAACATAACATTGACATTGTTTACATTGAGTGAGGACACGCAACGTTTTGGGGTGTAACGAAAAAGTAATATAACGAGTAGTGTAACAAATTATTCTTTCCATGGAGTAATAAGTCAAGTAATTTGTTATTGTTTGTAACCCCAACACTGGTGTTTAGCAGTTGGCATTGAGAGAAGCTCACATCTACAGGATTACTTCGACAATTGGCCATAGTGTCAGCTTAATTACCATAGCAACAGCATAGCTACAGAGAGGGCTCTGGTCTAGAAGAACATTGAGACTGCGCTAAATGATACACATCACATGCATGCACACTACAGCACACAAAATTATCATCATCACAGTCATCATCATTATCATCATCATCATCATCAAAAGCATCAGAAGCATCAGAAGCATCAGAATGTTCTGCCTCATCCTCCTCATCTTGATCATCACCAGTGTACCACATGTCTATCTATTCCTAACTGTAACTGTTGAAGTAAGAGTGGAGGGGGGGATGGATGAGGGAAGAAGGGTGAGATAGAGAAAGGATGGATGGAGGGAGGGAAGGAGGGTGAGATAGAGAAAGGATGGATGGAGGGAGGGAAGGAGGGTGAGAGCAAAGATTGGGAGGTAGGGTGAGAGAGGGAAGGAAAGGGGAGATCGACTTTGGGGATACTAGCAGATCAGAGCGACAGATCAGAGCGACTGCCCCATCTCTCTCACTTCCTCTCCAGCCCTCCCTACATTTTCAGACTTATTTTTCCCACCTCCACACCTCTCCTGCTCACTGGAGGCTGCGGCAGCCTCTCTCCTCTCTCTCCTCTCTCTCTCTCTCTCCTCTCTCTCTCTCTCTCTCCTCTCTCTCTCTCTCTCTCTCTCTCTCTCCTCTCTCTCTCCCTCTTTCTCTCCCTCTCTCCCTGAGACAGCTGTGCTCGGAGCCCTTTTATTTGCAGCTTGAGAAATGAAGATGTGGAATTTCAAAGAGAATCCTCTTCTGCTGACGCATACTGTTCCACTCCACCAGCAACTCAGCTCTACCTCTCTGCCTCCCCCTCTATCTCCTATCCCTCCCTCCCCCCCTCCCTCCCTCCCTCCCTCCCTCCCTCTATCTCTCCATCTCACTCCCTTTCACTACTGCTACCTTTCTCTCCACCTCTCCCCACTTCAGTCTGCCTGTCAGTCTCCCTATGCCCAAACCTCCCTCTCCCTTTCTCTATAAAGCTGTAGTGGCTGTGCTGTTTGTTGAGGTATTTTGATGTCCCCCATTGGTCATGGTTAGAAGTGGAATGAACACCTCAAATCCTGTCTGTCTGTCTGTCTGTCTGTCTGTCTGTCTGTCTGTCTGTCTGTATGTCTGTCTGTCTGTCTGTCTGTCTGTCTGTCTGTCTGTCTGTCTGTCTGTCTGTCTGTCTGTCTGTCTGTCTGTCTGTCTGTCTGTCTGTCTGTATGTATGTCTATCTTTCCTACAGCAGTGTATTTATACATATGTCTTTGTACTCCACCTGCCACTCAACCCAATCCTATTTTTCCCTTTTCCTTCTCTTCTGTCTTCAGAGACTCTCCTGCTATATAAGCCTATAACACACACACACACACACACACTCACACACACACAAACACACTCACTATTTCATTATTACTGCTATAGGAGTCTCTATTAACTTCAGCTCTGTGCTGTTGTATCAATTACATACAGCTAATAGATGCCAATGGCAACTAGCAAGCATTACAGTACATGTTAATTAAGGTGAATTGTTCTTATACGTTTCATGTTGCTATGCTTGCCAAAGCAATTATTGCATATCTCGCTCCCCTTCTCTCTCTCATAATGAACTATCTTTCCTCCCCCTTCCATCTCTCTCCCTCCACTCAAAACAGACCCGACAGTAAAGTTAATGTTGAGCATTCCCCTTTGACATCTCTCTTTTCCCCTGCCTCCATCCCTCACTCTCCCCCTCTCCCATTCTGCCAGGTCTACACTACTGACCTGTGAAGCTGATGTTGAGGAGGTAGTCTACAGTACTGACCTGTGAAGCTGATGTTGAGGAGGTAGTCTCTGTAGAGCTTACGTCCATCCAGAGCCTTCATGCTGTCACAGAGCTTGGTGGTGTTGGAACACAATGTCCTCTGCATCTTATGGAGGGCGTGGGCCACGGCATATACTGCATTCACCACAAACATGATCTTGGACTCCGGCTCAAAGTTACTATCATCAACCAACACACCCTTCTCACAGGGAGGGAGAGAGAGAGACACAGTCCCCCCTGACCCTACTCCTCCTGCCCCAGCTCCTCCTCCACCCCCTCCGCCAAGCGAGCACTGGAACTTCTGCTCCCAGAATTCCCGGTACCAGGGGTTGCGGTGGTTGTTGATTGGATCCAGAGACAGGAAGTAGCGATTAAACGCCGGCACGGGATTGGCCGCCAGCTCCAGGGTGATGGCCCCGTCGGCTGTGGCCTCGTTGCCCTTGACAATGCTCTCCTGTGCCCCCCAGCCGTCGCTGGCCACCCAGATGAAGGTAGCGTTGAGTCGTGCAGCAGCAGAGAGGAGTTCCCGAGCATCATCGCTGCGCAGGAAGAGGACAGCCACGCGGGCGTTGGGCTTCTGGAGGAGCTGCCTGATCACTGCCTCATAGGACTTCTTAGCGTTAGAGCGGCCCACCTGGACATGAGAAGGAACATCCTTTAGTTATTTACACTGGAAACAGAGGGAGTAAACACAAGAGGTCTACTACAGATGTGGGATCTTCATTTGATCACCCTGTTGCAGGAGAACTATCCTCCACTGCAGGAAATGTTAAACCTGTAGTGTATTTGGGGTTTAAAAAGGCTTCTGAAGTTTGTAATTTCCACTTTGACATTTCTGACTTGATTTTCCGTTACGTAAAATGTATCAACCCCTACAAAATTGTCCATTCATTGTACTCCACATAATAATTTACATTTCCTGTTGCTGCAGGATTATTTTCCTGCTGTAGCGAACTCGCTCAAATTAAGATCTTACATCTGTACATAGAATAGCTGGCTAAAATACATAGTATCACGCTTTAGGGTTAACCCTAAATCCAACTCCTTCTCCTGTTGTTTCTGTCTGATCAACCCCTCATCTTCTCTATGCTTGCTCTTCTATATTCTAACCTAGGTCTGCTCCTATCTCCTTCACTGTCAATCTCCCTATATATCTCCTGATAACTTTATCTCCACTTCTATCTCTCCCTACCTTTTCAGAGGTAGCGATGCAGATGTTCCTCATACGTGCTTCCTGTTCAAAAGCCTCAATGCCTGTCTCTCCGTAATCTCCCTCTGATGCCACCGTGGACACGTAGGTCCAGTTGAACAGCCGCAGGATCTCTGCCATGGCCTTGGCCTGGTAGAAGTCAGGGGGCACCGTGCGGGCAAAGTAGTCATAGCGCGTCTTGTCGCTGAGCTTGGCGCTGGTGGAGGCATAGCTGATCTGAGGGATCTGAAAGAGGCGCAGCAGGTTGGCCACCTGAGAGAGAGTGGCAAACAGACATGAGAAACAGACATACACAGATGCAGATGCACACACACAGTTGTGAAAATTCACACATAATCAAAGGGGTCTAGGTTCCTTTTTGGGGGGGGGGGTCATTTAGCAGACGCTCTTATCCAGAGCGACTTACAGGAGCAATTAGGGTTAAGTGCCTTGCTCAAGGGCACATCGACAGATTTTTCACCTAGTCGGCTCGGGGATTAGAACCAGCGACCTTTCGGTTACTGGCACAACGCTCTTAACCACTAAGCTACCTGCCGCCCCAGCTACCCTTAAGCTACCCTTTTTCTGGTCACGTTCTCCTGATTAGGATGTTACACACACACACACCCACACCCACACACATGCACACACACACAGACTGCCCTGAGGGCACACAGGCCAAACAACAACAAAAACTGTCAGCCCGGAGAAAAAAAGGAGTAATTGTGTGTGATGAAAGACAAGCGATGGAGGGATAACAATGCCTATCAGAGAAAGGAGAGTGGGCTGAGGTCAGAATACACTGGGCTCTCCCCTCGGAGTGAGGGAGTGACATCTTTTACTTTTAATACAAAGAGAGAGATGGAGAGGAAGAGATGGAGAGAGAGAGAGAGAGAGAGAGAGAGAGAGAGAGAGAGAGAGAGAGAGAGAGAGAGAGAGAGAGAGAGAGAGAGAGAGAGAGAGAGAGAGAGAGAGAGAGAGAGAGAGACAAAAGAAAGAGAGACTGAGAAAAACAGAGACAGAGTTGGAGGGAGAGCGAGTTGGAGAGATGAGGGATTTGGGTCTGATAGAGTAGAGTGTTTTGTGCAGTCACAGAGGAGTAGAAGAGGAGGAGATTTTATGCTAAACTATGCAAATCACCTTACTCTGTCACAGTGCCATACCACTGGAGCTGTGTGAATGTATTTGTGTGTGTGTTTGTGTGTTACCTGTATAGACACGCTGCTATAGGATCCTCCTATAACTCCAGCAATGGCCAGGGGAATGTCTTCCTGTAGAGCGTAGGATCCATCAGGGCAAATAAACTCTGTATCGTCCACCTTGGTCAGAGATGCACGCACAAACTCCAGCGCCTGGGAAATACACACACACACACACACACACACACACACACACACACACCACACACACACACACACACACACTCAATAAACACTTATTGAAAGACTGTAAATGTAATATGGACAGTGTTTTCTATGAGCTACAATAAGGCTTACTTTTATATTTATTTCAAGGGCAAGCTTATTATGCCAATTGTATAATTTTTCTACGGCGAAAGCTTAAAAAGCAGGAAGAAATAAAAAGTGTGTGGGTGTGCTTATGTGTGTGTATGTGTGAGTGTGACAGTGCTCACCAACCTGTTCCAGTGCGTATGTATCTCTAGAACAAGTGTCCAGTATGTGAACTCCTAGACTAACTCCAGGCAGCAGAGTAGGATCAGAGTTGATCCTGTCTATAGCAAACAGCATGGCCTCCAACCTCTGGATCCCTCTGTCCTCGTTCACCCTCCCACACTCCTCTATCCCTCCCCCCTTCTCATGGACTGGGAACAGCCCCCCCAGGACCAGGTCTCCCTCGATCCGGATCTCTCGACGGGGGTGAGGGGGGTCCACCCCCAGAGACACTAGCACACACTGACACAACACAGCTAGGAGGACCGTAGGGATACGGGATAACATGGTGGAGAGGAGAGGAGAGGAGAGGAGAGGAGAGGAGAGGAGAGAGAGAGGAGAGGAGAGAGGAAGAGAAGAGAGGAGAGGAGAGGATGAGGAGAGGAGAGCGAGACGGAGCGTAGATGAGTAACGTTAAGGGTTTGGAGTGAGGGGTTAGAGGTTAAGAGTATGGGTCAGGGTTGAGCGTTCAAAGGTAAAGGGATCAAGGTGAGGTAGTTGTGAAGTGCGGTCGCAGTAGCTGCTGGTCTGTTTGTGGTCCATCTAATGGTCAAGGAGAGTTCAACTGGACCACACATGAAGGAGCACACGGTCTGGACATCAGACCTTCTAGAGGAGAGGAGAGAGAGAGGGGGGGGGAGGGGGGGGGGGGGGCGGTTCAGAACAGCAAGAGATAAGGCTAAACAAATCATCTCTAAGCAGCTCTATGTATCTACTGTACAGGTGACAAACTCCATGTTTTATGCTGACAACAAATATGTTAGAGTTATGTTAGAGTTTTCGGAGAGTTTTGGGGTATTGTTAACAAGAGCTGACAGTAATGTCTACTTCACAGCCAGTCAGACCATGACTAAAAGGATAAGAGATGGTTTGGAGAATGCATCTATCTCTCTCTCTCTCTAGATATCTATCTATCTCTCTCTATCTCTTCTCTATATCTCTCTCTCTATCTATCTATCAACCCCTTAAGCTCTCCCTTTACTATCATCCTCGTTCTGTCTACCCCCTCTCTTGCCTTCTTTCCCCAATCTCTCTCTACTGCAGCAAACTCTTCTCCCTGCGCAATACTGTGTGTGCCTGCGCGCGTGTGTGTGTTGGTGTATGTGTGTGTGTGTAGGTGTATGTGTGTAGGTGTGTAGGTGTGTGTGTGTAGGTGTGTGTGTAGGTGTATGTGCCTGTGGCTGTTTTAGGATAGGTCTGTTCAGATCATTTCGCTACACACGCAATAACATCTGCTAAACACGTGTATGTGAGAAATAACATTTGATTTGATTTGAGATGACAGGCTGATATAGAAGCCCAGGTTTCTGATGCCACTGCTCTGAAACTCTTCCTGAATCTGATCTCTGTTCCAACGTTTCCTCACTCGCCCATGCCTTACACTCTGACTGAGTGTGGGTTTGTGTGTGCTCCCACACCCCTGCCTCCACAGACGCAGACACAGCATATTTGTTTGTGTGACTGTGTGTGTGTCTGTGTGAGTGCCCAAACTGATGCTATCTCCTCAACTCCTCAACTAAAGATCCCTCTCTGTCTCCCTAAGCCCAGACCATGCTTATCTACCCAGCAGAACTAATACCACTGTCTCTTCACAACCAACAAGCTAATTCTATTCCACTGAACACCCTCAGATAATGCCTTACAACACATCCGTTCCAACAACACAACAGAGAGAGAGAGAGAGAGAGAGAGAGCGAGAGAGAGGAGAGATAGGGAGAGAGGTTCACTATGTACGATCTGAGTGCTGTCTTCTGTCCCATCAGGAGACAGTGTGTGTGGTGTGTATGTGTGTGTGTGCATGTGTGTTTGTCAGCATGTAGGAGGATTAAAGATTCTCTGAGATGCAGTCAGCTCTGAGCTCAGACACTGCAATAGGCTGTTGCTGTGTTTACACTCAACTCTCTAGTATGTTACTAACTCTGCTATCTTTAACACACACTACTATCAATGTACTCCTTCTGTAGTATACTGTAGGTAGTCCCAAACAGTAGGTTCATTAATGTAGGTTGTCTCATCAATGGGGTTCTCCTGCAGCTAATTAGGAGTTTATCCCCCACTAGGGTCTGTGCTCTCTTCCAAGATGACATCACACCCCAAGGAAAAGTGTGTGTTGCGTGTTGTGGGTGAGTGTGATTCAAGAACAGTCAAAATCAACACGATTATTCTTGCAGGGGGGGAAAAGTGCCATGAGTTAACTTTACGATCAATCTTTTCTTTCTAACCCAACCCAACCCCCCCCCCCCCCCCCCCCCCCCCCCCCCCCTCCCCCCCCCCCCCCCACCCCCCCCCCCCCCCCCCCCCCCCCCCCCCCCCCCCCCCCCCCCCACGCCCCCACATAGACGATTTAACTCCTAGATAACTTCCCACTCTACAGAAGAGAAATCTCATCAAAATAACATGAACATACTGTCCTGAGAGGGAACTCACCACCCCTCTCTTCCTCTTTCTCTCCCTCCTCTCTCTCTCTCTCTCCCTCCTTCTCTCTCCCTCTCTCCCTTTATCTCTCTCTTTATGTCACAGCCCTGTACCACAACTCTGTAATTAACTTGGTTGGCCAGCGTTTTGATGAGCACCATGTTTTCTCCCCTGCTATTCCCTCTTTTGTCTCCTATATCACTCCTCTCCTCTCTCCTCTCTTTTCCTTTCCTACTCTGCTGCCTCTTTCCTTTCTTCTCTCTCTTCTATCTCTTCTTTTCTGTCTGCTGTCCAGTCTGACTCTCAGTCCCTGGAGAGAAAGAACACAGAGAGAATAGCCCATTGTGGTCTTTCTCTTGTATGTGTGTGTTTTGGGTGCAGATAGCGTTGGAGACTAGCAGCCATTCCACCCAGGGCCTTTCTTTAACAGCATGCTGTAATCTAATTGGTAGCTCATACAATACATTTTCAACTGATGAGACAAATAATAATATCTTCAAACATTCTTATACTACACACACACATACACACATCACACACATACACACATCACACACATACACATATACACACACACCACATTCTTACAATAGCCAGCTCTTGGTTAGCTTATGATGACATGTATCTGATAAATAATGTTGCACTGTGCTGTGTTCCATTGAGAATGTAGGTTATGGTGTTTGAATCCCGCACCATTCTCTCCTAAATAGTGCAGCATCTTACCTGACAAGAAGCATACAAGAGAAAGAGCTGCTGGGTCATTGTACATAGCTACATCACCAGAGAAACCTAGAGAGAGGGGGAGAAAGAGAATGGTTCAGCAAACAATGTTTAGTGCCACGCCCACGCCCACGCCCACATCATCGAGTTAGTCTAGGTTACATAGTTCAGAAATTGGACCATGAGAAAAAGAGGGAAGAGAAAATGAATAAAGGTTAAAGACGGAGAGTAGCACATCTCTATCCTGATGTAGCCTGTTAGTGAGTGACCGAGAGACTAATCATGACACTGAACTTACAGCCCAAAAGTCAATCACCTTTTACATCATCTTTCACTCTCCTCCCCTTCCTCTATCTCTATGCTCTTTCTCTCGCTCCTATCTATCCCCTCTGTCCTTTCCTACTTAAGCTGTGACTATGTTACAAGCACAAGACAATAGATATTCCATTCTTGTCAAATGTGTGCTCTGCGCAGGGGACACCAAGAGACACAAGCACAACAAAAAAAGAGATTTAGTTTATTTTCAGTTTCACACCACACTTTCACAGAACCCCACAAAATGTGGACCCAGCTTTTCTCTCCCATCTCCCATATCTCTCCCCTCCCTCTCTAACAGGCAGGGTTGTCGTTGATGACACGTACACTGCAGAGAGAGGACATGCAGGGTTGATGGACCACAGTACTCACCCCGCTCTGCACTGTGTGTGTGTGTGTCTTTATATGTGTCTCTGTCTGTGCCAAAGCTTCACAATATGAGCGGATCTCTCAGTGTGAGAGAGCTACAGACCTCTCATTACAGGGTCTCACACTAGCAGAGCCTTTCTTTGTATCCCTAACTTTCTGTGTGTATCTGTCTATACTTTACTCTCTCTCTCTCTTTCTCTCTCCATCTCTCTATGAAGCAAATACACAAACAGTGCACACCATGCAGCATTTTCCACAGAAAACGTTAAGATGCCGTGCCTGCTTGTGTGCGTGCGCGTGCGTGTGTGTGTGCGTGGGTAAGCATGTGTGTAAGTTTGGTGTTCCAGAAACAGTCCTCACACTCCTAACTATGTATTGGGTAAGATGGACAATTAATTCATTATTTACATAGTGTGTTTTAGGGAAGGAAGATTGTTGACCCGTACATAGGACAGGGAGGTACACCTAAACACACACCAGCACCCTACACACACCCCTAAGATGATTCAACACAAACACGTCACCCCTAGTCTAAAGACTCAAACAATTACCAGGAGTATAATATATATATACAGTACCAGTCAAAAGCTTGGACACACCTACTCATTCAAGGGTTTTTCTTTATTTTTACTATTTTCTACATTGTAGAATAATAGTGAAGACATCAAAACTATGAAATAAGACATATGGAATCATGTAGTAACCAAAAAACTGTTAAACAAATCAAAATATATTTTTTATTTTTTTATTCTTCAAAATAGCCACCCTTTGCCTTGATGACAGCTTTGCAAACTCTTGGCATTCTCTGAACCAGCTTCACCTGGAATGCTTTTCCAACAGTCTTGAAGGAGTTCACACATATGCTGAGCACTTGTTGGCTGCTTTTCCTTCACTCTGCAGTCCAACTCATCCCAAACCATCTCAATTGGGTTAAGGTTGGGGGATTGTGGAGGCCAGGTCATCTGATGCAGCACTCCATCCCTTACACACCCTGGAGGTGTGTTGGGTCATTGTCCTGTTGACAGACAAATGATAGTCGCACTAAGCGCAAACCAGATGGGATGGCGTATCGCTGCAAAATGCTGTGGTAGCCATGCTGGTTAAGTGTGCCTTGAATTCTAAATAAATCACTGACAGTGTCACCAGCAAAGCACCCCCACACCATCACACCTCCTCCTCCATGCGTCACGGTGGGAACCACACATGCAGAGATCATCCGTTCACCTACTCTGTGTCTCACAAAGACACGGCGGTTTGAACCAGAAATCTCACATTTGGATTCATCAGACCAAAGGACAGATTTCCACCGGTTTTATATCCATTGCTCGTGTTTCTTGGCCCAAGCAAGTCTCTTCTTCTTATTGGTGTCCTTTAGTAGTGGTTTCTTTGCAGCAATTCGACCATGAAGGTCTGATTCACGCAGTCTCCTCTGAACAGTTGATGTTGAGATGTGTCTGTTACTTGAACTCTGTGAAGCATTTATTTGGGCTGCAATTTCTGAGGCTGTTAACTCTAATGAACTTATCCCCTGCAGCAGAGGTGACTCTGGGTCTTCCTTTCCTGTGGCGGTCCTCATGAGAGCCAGTTTCATCATTGATGGTTTTTGCGACTGGACTTGAAGAAACTTTCAAAGTTCTTGACATCTTCCGGGTTGACTGACCTTCATGTCTTAAAGTAATGATGGACTGTCGTTTCTCTTTGCTTATTTGAGCAATTCTTGCCATAATATGGGCTTGGTCTTTTACCAAATAGGGCTATCTTCTGTATACGACCCCTACCTTGTCACAACACAACTGATTGGCTCAAACGCATTAAGAAGGAAAGAAATTCCACAAATTAACTTTTAACAAGGCACACCTGTTAATTGAAATGCATTGCAAGTGACAACCTCATGAAGCTGGTTGAGAGAATGCCAAGAGTGTGCAAAGCTGTCATCAAGGCAAAGGGTGTCTACTTGAAGAATCTCCAATATAAAATATATTTTGATTTGTTTAAAACTTTTTTGGCTACTACATGATTCCATATGTGTTATGTCATAGTTTTGATGTCTTCACTATTATTCTACAATGTAGAAAATAGTAAAATAAAGAAAAACCCTGGAATGAGTAGGTGGGTCCAAACTTTTGACTGGTACGGTACATATACAGTTGAAGTTGGACGTTTACATACACCTTAGCCAAATAGATTTAAACTAAGTTTTTCACAATTCCTGACATTTAATCCTTGTAAAAATTCCCTGTCTTAGATCAGTTAGGATCACCACTTTATTTTAAGAATGTGAAATTTCAGAATAATAGTAGAGAGAATTATTTATTTCAGCTTTTATTTCTTTCATCACATTCCCAGTGTGTCAGAAGTTTACATGCACTCAATTAGTATTTGGTAGCATTGCCTTTAAATTGTTTAACTTGGATCAAACGTTTCGGGTAGCCTTCCACAAGCTTCCCACAATAAATTGGGTGAATTTTGGACCATTCCTCCTGACAGAGCTTTTGTAACTGAGTCAGGTTTGTAGGCCTCCTTGCTCGCACACGCTTTTTCAGTTCTGCCCTATGCTTCACGGTTGGGAAGGTGTTCTTCGGCTTGCAAGCTACCCCCTTTTTCCTCCAAACATAAAGATGGTAATTATGGGCAAACAGTTCTATTTTTGTTTCATCAGACCAGAGGACATTTCTCCAAAAAGTACGATCTTTGTCCCCATGTGCAGTTGCAAACCATAGACTGGCTTTTTTATGGCGGTTTTAGAGCAGTGGCTTCTTCCTTGCTGAGCGGCCTTTCAGGTTACGTCGATATAGGACTCGTTTTACTGTGGATATAGATACTATTGTACCTGTTTCCTCCAGCATCTTCACAAGGTCCTTTGCTGTTTTTCTGGGATTGATTTGCACTTTTCGCACCAAAGTACGTACATCTCTAGGAGACAGAACAAGTCTCCTTCCTGAGCGGTTTGACGGCTGCGTGGTCCCATGGTGTTTATACTTGCGTACTATTGTTTGTACAGATGAACATGGTACCTTCAGGCGTTTGGAAATTGCTCTCAAGGATGAACCAGACTTGTGGAGGTCTACAATTTTTTTTCTGAAGTCTTGGCTGATTTCTTTTCATTTTCCCATGATGTCAAGCAAAGATGCATTGAGTTTGAAGGTAGGCCTTGAAATACATCCACAGGTAACGAACC